AAGATGTTCATCCAAGTCTCCTTGTGCGATCGAGCGAAGTCTCTCACAAGGTTTTGCGAGTCTTTTATCGACTGGAGATAAGCCCTGAAACACCGTCGCACATAAATATAGATTATACAAAACAAAAGAGGTCTCAAGCTGTTGTCTCATTTTTTCTTTAATTGATAGTTGAGTTCTTCTTTGTTGTAAGCTATAGAATAATGTGTTCCTTAATAATTTGATCCTTTTCCATTTTACACCTATTTTTTCGAGTTTTATAGTAAAAATTGGTTGGCATTTTCACTACTTCTAAAATGTTCAAGTTTCTAGAAATTTTTTGACTATTTTTCTTAACAAGTTACAAAACAGCATTAACAAACAGAAGAATTAACACAACACCAAACCCAAAATTAATTAAGCATTTGTTTCATGTCAAAAAGAAAATTCCATAAACATTTAAGCATTTGATTCGTTTTGTTTCATTGTTTCTATCTAAGTCAAGTGCATTAGTTATGGTTTTTATATAGAAAATATATGTTATATATGTAAAATAACACAACAAATTAGTTGATTTAAAATTCTAACTAGATAAATTATTTATTGCATCAAACATTTTTTTTTATTTGGATATTTTCATGCTATTTAATTGCTTAGCATATTTTAAAAATCCTTCTTTTTTTGGTCAAACTTCTAATAATCTTTTTATGGATATAAATTAATATTATATATTTTAATGTAAAAATACTTCTAAAAAGGTCCCAAGTATCGTGCATATCCCAATAACAAACTCTTAAATATTTAATTATCAATATTCTAGGTGGCTCTTGATCTTTTTTCACAAAACCAAAAACACTCTTCAATCACCAATTCTCTTTGTGACTTTATCAACTACACAAATTAGTTCTCTTTTCAAGCTCTCCTCCTTATTTTCAGGTTCGTTCTCTTTTCTTTTTTTCCTAAACCACAAGTTTTGAAGCTTTTGTCCATGCATTTCCTTGAGTCATATTTTATATGCATAGTTCTCTACTCGAACTAATAAACAAACCTTCTCCTCCAAGAGCTAATTGTGTTTGGTCTAATTTTCGACATTTTTTTTTCTTAACTCTCATAATTTTTGCGGTAGCAATTTTTTTGGGAGGATTAGGAAAAAAAGTATATTAAAGAAAAGATATAAATTACAAACATAGGCAGCCTATGATAGGATGAATCTTTTCAAATCCAGGAAATCAACTTTGAGTTTTAGGGTTAGAGTCTATGATTTAGGTTTAATGTATATGATTTAGAATTTAATTTAGAGTTGTGGTTTTAAATTTTAGAATATTTTCTTAATTTTGAGATAATATTTTGACGATTATCATAAATCTTTATTTGTACAAAAGATGGAAAAAGCTATAATCGACTCTAAGTAGTTGGCATTGAATATCTATCGTATAAGACATTTTTTTCATCATCACTTTAAAACCCAAACACCAAAAAGTTTCCTCTTACTTGCAAATGTGTGTGATTCCACTCATTCCTCTTTCATGATCTTAAAGCTTATAATAGTTCTCACCAACTCCTTAGGAGAACTCAATTTTGTTTTATTTTTCAGGTAAGAAGATTTCCTTTGCATATATACCAATTAGATTTTTCATTTTTTATGTTCTTTTTATTGCATTGGGATTTATATTTCTGTTTTTGGTTTTGGGTTGTTTTTTTCTTATAAATATGGTTGAAGCTTGTGTGTGAACTTCATCTAAGAGTTTGGAGGGTTTATCGTTTATCCGAGGGAAGAGAAAATATTTGTTGTGAGGGCCTTTTCTCGGTTTTTGTTTTCTACTATCTTAATAAAGGTTTTGAGTTTTGAATTTGGTTCTAACTCTTAACAATTGTCCAGGTAATTTTAGTTTTCTTGAATTGTTTATGTGATCTCTCATTTATGTACCCGATCAATATCTAGACCTTATTATAAAATTTTATTTGATCTATAGAAAAAATGATAAAAATAAATGATTATCAAGTTAATTGTGTGATTAGAGTAGGTAATCGAGTTTAGAGTTTTTGCTTCCATTTTCTTTGACAAGTAATAAACTAAGCAAAGTTATAAATATTATTGTTGTGTATTAGTCACAATCAAATGATCAATAACCACGCTTCTCTTGCTTTCGCTTTAAAATACTCAACCATATTGATTTCTTTATTCTCTTCTTTCCCCAAAAATCTACTCTTTTTTCCCCATAAAGATGTTATCATTTCCAATACTTTTTCTCTCAAGTATCTTTGATAATCACAGTTCTTCATTTTTATTAGTAGAAGTCATTAGCTATGGAGGAAGATAACCAAGAAAGACAACGTGACAATGTTGGAACTTCATCTTTCTTCAAGACTTGTTTCAACGCACTCAATGCTCTTTCAGGTTCATTTTTCTTATTTGGTTCGATATACTTATTTAATTAGTCGTCCTTGTAACATACTAATTACTAATGAATATCACTAATTATGGTATTGAATCGCTTTAGGAATTGGAATATTATCGGTACCATACTCACTTGCTCGTGGAGGATGGTTGAGTCTTTCACTTCTGTTACTCCTAGCCGCAACCGCCTTCTACACATCCTTACTCATTACAAAATGTATGAATGCGGACCGCAACATCAAAACATATCCCGACATTGGAGAAAGAGCATTTGGTAGACCAGGAAGAATCATTGTGTCACTCTTCATGCACCTAGAACTCTATCTAGTCACCACAGGTTTCTTGATCCTCGAGGGGGACAATCTTCACAATCTTTTCCCGGGTTTTAACATCGAACTAATTGGATTGAGATTGAATGGCAAACAAGCTTTCATGGCGACTGTTGCCCTCGTCATCATGCCAACTCTATGGTGGGATAATCTAAGCGTTTTGTCTTATGTTTCTATGAGTGGCGTTTTAGCTACGACTGTGACTCTTGGATCAATATCTTGGGTTGGCGCATTCGATGGAATTGGGTTTCATCAAAAGGGAAAGTTGATAAATTGGAGTGGGATCCCTACAGCTTTGAGCTTATATGCTTTTTGCTATGGTGCGCATCCAGTTTTGCCCACTTTGTATTCCTCTATGAAAAGCAAACATCAGTTCAACAATGTAAGTCATTTCTACCATTAACCAACAAATCCATGACCACTTGCATGATGTCATATACTTTATGTTTTGATTGATACATGCCTAGGAAGTAGTTTTTCTATTTAGTTCGCTATGGATTTTGGAAATAGGTCCTTAATGAAACTTATTTTGTTTGGTTCGCTTCGATAAATTTCGGTTTAGTTTTCAGTTTGGGGTTCTGATTTGATTCTGTTTTAAATATAAAATAATAATTAAAAACAAATTTTACTAATTATTTAAGTAGTTAATATTATAGAGTTTTAATATATTAAAATATATTAATTAAAATTAAATATTAATTTTTAATTAACTTAGGTAGAAATTTTTTATATCTTTAGACCGATTACTTTTGTTTGGTTTGGTTTGTTTATTTTATTAAAATTTTGCACACCTCTAGTTTACTGAAAACAAATAATGTTAACTTCACTCTTTGTTTGTGCAGGTTCTACTAATATGTTTTATACTATGCACTATAGGATACACATCAATGGCGGTATTGGGCTACTTAATGTATGGATCACAAACATTATCACAAATAACACTGAATCTCCCAATTCATAAGACGAGTTCAAAGGTGGCAATATACACAACCCTTGTAAACCCGGTAGCCAAATACGCATTGATGATCACACCAACCGTGAACACCATAAAAGATTGGTTTCCTTCACGTTATGCCAAAAAGACTTACTTACATCTCTTGATAAGCACATTTTTCATCATAAGTAGTGTCGTCATCGCCGAGACACTTCCCTTTTTCGGTTATATGATGTCGCTGGTTGGAGCATTACTGAGCGTAACGGTTTCTATACTTCTGCCTTGTTTATGTTACTTGAAGATCTATGGATATTACAAGAAAATTGGATGTGAGACTATTATGTTGTTTGGAATGGTAGTGATGAGTGTTTTTGTTGGAGTTTTAGGTACTTACATTGCAATCCGAGAAATAATTGGAAGTGTATAAAAGTTTTAAGAAATGGATATGTTACAATAACTCATATGTTGGGGTAATATAATATTTTATTGTGTTTCTCAGAAATTTTGTGTTAATTCATTTTATAAAAATGTATTCCTTCTAGGTAAGTTTTTATAACTAATTACTAGCTTGAGGATGGAACAAGATATAAAGCTGAGTCTCGTAATGGAAATTTGAAAACAAAAAAAAGTGATTAATTTAATGGAAATTGGTTTAGCTGAACTTAGCTTATGCATTAGTACAAAATATAGTTATATATTTGCAAGAAAATAAGTATAGTAATATTTGCTCTCTTTTTTTTAATATCTTCTTAAACCCGATCGGGTACAGGTCTTTCGGGTAGAGGAGTTTAGGATCCAATAGAATTTATATATATAAAGTTTATGTATTCGTTCGGATCGGGTTTTACCGTATATCCACGGGTATTGCAATACAAGATCCAATAGGATAAATAGCTAATACCCGTACTCATTCCGAACCGTTTTTCCGGGTCAGTTTCGGTTTGGATTTTTGGGTCCGGGTTTTTTTTTCCAGGCCTAACTAAAACGTTCCAAAAGTATGATGGAAAATATTTTTAGAATACTTTTTTGTTTCTCAGTGTGTTACGCAATTTCTAGTTCTATCTATCAAAGTGTTGGAAACTTTTGAGTGATTGATTTTTTTCCTCTATCAAAATATTTATATTTTTTTGGTAGGAATCTATCAAAATATTTATTATTTCAGTCTTGCGTTACTCTTTTTTAATGTTTTCTTTTGTAAAGCTGCTCAAAGCAACATTATAACTATAGTTTCAATTTTGTTGAAGGCTCATAACTTGAATCTTAAGATGGGTTTCTTTCACATTATTATGGCAAACACTATAACTTGGTTCCATGTAGAGATAAAGAGGCTTTAGATATTAATTATTAGTTTGTGCTTCAATAATGTTTTAAGGAATCTGAAATTTTATTAATACTGACTGAATCAAAGCAACTGTACAACGATGACGGGAAAAAAACTAAATCGAAACAAAAATTATAAAAAAGTTAACAAAAGCGAATGCTTAGTTATGAGGTTGAGGCCTGAAGGAGCGTAACCATCTGTTGTACTGGTCCATAAGTGTCAACTCCATCTGCTTCGCAGGAACATTGGGGACAGTTACGGGTTTGGTGAGTGGTCCGACCACGACTCGTAGTTTAAGCCCAGCCTCACAGTGACCTGTCTTTGAGCTAATGAAGTAGTGGACTCCTGGTTTGGTGAGTGTGACGAGATCGTGTCCTGTCTTGTGCACGGATATTGGAGAAATCCGGTCACAGGATAAGAATTCAAGGTCTCCGCTGATCTCGTAGACGTCGTTTTCTTCATTGCCGTATTCAAAAAGTAGTTTGTCTCCAATATCAAAGTGACTCTGCTCCGCCCACTTGTAATAAAAGTCGGTCTCTTCAGGAACACTCCACCCCTTAGAGTTACCAACTTTGTAGATATTTCCAAGAGGAAGGAGGACCTTGCTCGGTGGTGGTGGAGGAATGGGACGTGACGGGTCATGAACGACATGAACGACAAGCCTCTGTCCGGATGCGCATTGTTGACGATTTGAACTGATGAAGTACATATAACCTGGTTCCGTTAGGGTTACGACATCGTGTCCAGTGTTGTAGACAGCTTTAGCAGAAGAATAGTCGCAGAATTCGTACTCCAAGGCACCAGAGACTTGAGTTACGTCGTTGAATAGGGGATCGTATTCGAACACCAAAGAATCTCCCACGTGGAACTCTTTATCCTCAACCCAAAAATAATTATAGGTTTCGTCCTTGGTAGTCCATCCATCCGAGTCTCCAACTTTGTATACTGTTGCCGAAGAACAGGAAACCGAGATAACCATGAAGGTTGTTATCACCAGCAGGATGAATCCGAAGATCTTCGTAGTTATGGCCATGATTAGACAGTGTATGAAGAGGAAGAAAGATTAACAAATTTCAAAGCAAAGAAGAAAGTTTGTGAAATCTCGAACAAAAGCTTAATGAGAGAAAGATGCGAGAGAGTTGTGGTGATGAATTATGATGAGATTAGGTGCCCTATCATTGTTTATATAGTGCTTTACAATTCCATATCCTTTTAGGACTTTATTTTGTTTATCTTATTTTTTTTTTCTAAACTAACGGAAATTAATTCAGTCCCTTTGAGATATCATTGTATTTTATTTTTATTTTTTGGATACACCTCATATCTCAAATTAAAAAAAAAAGGTTTAAGAAATATTTTTATTTTATTTTTATAAGAGGGTTAAGCTGTATATGAGATCTGTTCACCATTGATAATGAGATATATCTCTTGTCCTTTTAATATATACAGAAATTATATATTCTTATCGATTTGTTTATAAATTTGGAAGTTATTATTTTTTCTTTTTTAAATGCAGTTTTTTTTCTTTTAGGCTTTTAGCTATTAACAGAGTTACAAACAAAATTTAGTTTTTCATTTAACAGCTTTGAATTGAACCTTTGATTAAACCTGCAGAAGAAGAAGAAGCTTCAGCGAGAAGAAGAAGTGCTCATAGAGCAAAGGCAAAGGAAGAAGAAGAAGAAGTCGTGACAAGGTCAACGACACATAGAGAAGAAGGAGCAAAGTCAACAAGAAGAAAGGTGTTGGGCTTTGTGTGGTTTGGTCCTAAGAAGACTAATGGGCTACGTTTTTGGTTAAGGCCCAAAGTAAAGGAAGTGTGTTTTGTTAGTTAAAGTGCTAGCTAAAGACTAGAGTTGTGTAAGAGTTGTTGGTTAACCTTGCTTGTGAGCTTGGTTATAAGCTTAGGTAATGATGTCTAGAAGTAAGGTCTAGGTCTAAGTAGAAGTATGGTTGCAAATGTGTGTGGTCAGTAGAAAAACCACTATATCTATGTGTGTGTATCTTGTAAGAAAAGTATCCTTTGATCCAATAAACAAGATGTAGACAATTAATTGTTTCTCTCTTCTCTCTTACTAAACGTTTGTGTAACAATCAAAGAGAGTAAAGAGAGAACAAGGTAATCTCTGTTTCAACAACAAAAGAAACAGAGAGATACTAAAGAGAGTGTGAGAGATGGTGAACCTCTAAAGGTTAAATAGAGGAAGAACCTGAAAATGCAACATGGTATCAGAGCTGTAGTTATCCTTGGAGCCTGTTCAAGGAGAAGATGTCAGTCTAAGAAGAAAGACTGAAGAGAAGAAGAAGTGGGCCGTAAGAAGGAAACGGCAAAGATGAATGAAGAAGAACAAAGGTTGAAGTGACAAACCTCTGGAAGAGAAGCCTTGAGCGGACCTGAGCTCATAGGCAAAAAGTTCTTGAGTGGACCTGAGCTCAAGACAAATGAAGAGTTGCTGCAGCCATCTTAACAGAAACTCATAAGGTTAGTGTGCATGAAACAGAGTTCAAGGTTCAACAACGTTACAATTCACAAAGATGGATTGAGAAGAAGGTTGATGCCAAGGACAAACCTGTGAAGTGCAAAACCGAGAGGGAGAATTCTGTGGCTGAAGTAGAACAAGAAAAAACGGCACCAATGCAAGCTTGGTTGCAACCTCTAAGATGAAATGTAGGCAGTGAAGCCTTGCGTCAAAGAGGAAGCAATTAAGGTGGCAGCACTGGTGTTAAGAAGCTCCAATCAGTGACTAGGGTTGAAATCTGAGTGGATCAAAACCTGAAAACGAGAAGGAGAAGCCAAGGTTAGAGAAAGACCAAAGCCAACGGTTCAAGGAGTCAAACAAACCAAGTCCGAGAAAGCGGAGGTTGATGATTCAAGAGCCTAACAAGCTAAGGTTAGAGAAAAACCGAGGTGGAGATTCAAAGAACCAAACGACTAAGGCAAAGAAAGCAAGGATGAAACTCATGGAGAAACCTAAGAGACTACGGTAAGAGAAGCCGGGTGATGGTGCCAGAGTCAAAAGTCCAAGGCTAAAGCTAAGGTGATGGTTTGGAGAATCGAAAAAAAAAAAAAGAGAGAGAACAAGGCTGGTGATCACAGTTGACACCAAGCAAAGAAGAAGCTCACCACAGTGGGAGCTGAAGCCGGTTGCAACGTCAGCCGAGCAAGAGACGTGAGAAGAGCTCACGGAGAAAACTTGGAGGAGACATGAAGCGGAAGAGCTGAAGTCTTTCCTGCAAAGAAAAGTTTTTGGTCAGAAATTGATCAAAGAAACAGAGGAAATTGCGAAGAAAACTAGCCAAGAGATGGCAAAGATATTCGCACAAAAAAATGAAAGAAAAGGGTTGGATCCATGGAGATTCAGCTTAAGAGGGAGAAGAGCAAACTTACGGAAGTGGTGGTTGAAGACGGCGGAAGTGACTGGTGATCGGTGAGAGTTGTGACCTCTAGCTGTCGTCGGAGAAGCTAAGAACCACAGATATAGAAAGAAGCTCGATTAAGAAGAATCGAAGCAAGAGGAAGATGATGAAGAAAAAGCAAGGAGCAATGGGATTAAAATCCCTAAATTGAAATTGGGGTTTTAATCAAAGGGTTCAAGAGGGAGTGTTGGAATTGAACCTTTGATTAAACCTGCAGAAGAAGAAGAAGCTTCAGCGAGAAGAAGAAGTGCTCATAGAGCAAAGGCAAAGGAAGAAGAAGAAGAAGTCGTGACAAGGTCAACGACACATAGAGAAGAAGGAGCAAAGTCAACAAGAAGAAAGGTGTTGGGCTTTGTGTGGTTTGGTCCTAAGAAGACTAATGGGCTACGTTTTTGGTTAAGGCCCAAATTAAAGGAAGTGTGTTTTGTTAGTTAAACTGCTAGCTAAAGACTAGAGTTGTGTTGTGTAAGAGTTGTTGGTTAACCTTGCTTGTGAGCTTGGTTATAAGCTTAGGTAATGATGTCTAGAAGTAAGGTCTAGGTCTAAGTAGAAGTATGGTTGCAAATGTGTGTGGTCAGTAGAAAAACCACTATATCTATGTGTGTGTGTCTTGTAAGAAAAGTATCCTTTGATCCAATAAACAAGATGTAGACAATTAATGGTTTCTCTCTTCTCTCTTACTAAACGTTTGTGTAACAATCAAAGAGAGTAAAGAGAGAACAAGGTAATCTTTGTTTCAACAACAAAAGAAACAGAGAGATACTAAAGAGAGTGTGAGAGATGGTGAACCTCTAAAGGTTAAATAGAGGAAGAACCTGAAAATGCAACACCAAGGCACCAGAGACTTGAGTTACGTCGTTGAATAGGGGATCGTATTCGAACACCAAAGAATCTCCCACGTGGAACTCTTTATCCTCAACCCAAAAATAATTATAGGTTTCGTCCTTGGTAGTCCATCCATCCGAGTCTCCAACTTTGTATACCGTTGCCGAAGAACAGGAAACCGAGAGAGCCATGAAGGTTGTTATCACCAGCAGCACGAATCCGAAGATCTTCGTCGTTGTGGCCATGATTAGACGGTATGTATGAAGAGGAAGAATGTTTGTGAAATGTAGAAGCAAAGAAGAAAGTTTGGGAGATCTCGAACAAGCTTAATGAGAGAAAGATGGAGAGAGTTGTGTTGATGAATTATGATGAGACTAGGTGCCATACGATTGTTTATATAATGCTTTACAATTCCAAATCCTTTTAGGATTTTATTTTGTTTATTTCCCTTTTTTCTAAATTAACTGATATTAATTCAACAACTTTGATAGATATGGATTTTATTTTATTTTTTGGATTCACCTCATATCTCAAATTAAAAAAAAAAAAACGGTTTAAGGAATCTTTTTATTTTATTTTTATAAGAGGGATAACCTGACTAAGAGATCTGTTGACCACTAAAAATGAGATAAATCTTTTTTCTTTTTAATAGACAAAAATTATATATTCTTATCTATTTGTTTATAAATTTGGAAGATATTAATTGTTTTTTCCTTTTTAAATGCAGTTTTTTTTAGGCTTTTAGCTACTAGGGAGGGCTCTCGCGCATTGTGCTGGATTGTTTGCGTTTGTAGGTTGCTGATTCTATGTACATTTGTCGTATTGGTTAGGGAATATTTTGAATTTTGTTTCCCCACATTCTAAATATAATTTTCTGTTATTACTTTGTGTGCTGTTGTTTTTATCATATGTTACTTTTATTTCAATGAATGTTTTTGGTTTAGTTTGGACTTTTAAGTTTAAACTTAGATGAAAGTGTGAGCAGATATAAACTATTTGTTACTCTTTTATTATTTTTTCCTATTCTTCTTGTCATATTTTAAATTTGATTAGAAGAAACCATTTATTTGTTTTGTGTAATACGCTTGGGCCGTGTACTATTTGTTAGGGTCGTTTTTACTTTTTACCACTTTGTATTTGGGTCTCATCGTGTGAAGAATGAAACCGTGAAGCACACGCAAAGACCTATCAAGATAAAGACTCCCGGGTTAAACTCAAAGTCTTACTAAGGTTGATGTATGTTAAACCACAGTTTCACTGCTTTTGGACCACAGATAGAGGAAACGGCTACATAAGCCAGTAATGCATCCGTACCCGTTGTCCTCTGGTGCATTAAAATGATAAAGGAGTCTTTGTCAGCTTGTGCACGCATTTTCTCAGCTGAGCTGTCAAGAGAGACAAATCGGAGGAGCGTCTACTTTAGGTCATCGCATAGGTCTCCTGGCTTTATGCTATAAAAGGAACCTTTAAGGTAGAGAGTATAGGAGTGTGCTGTGTTGGTGATACAGAGAGTAAGAGAGTAAACTTGTATTAGCTTAAACTTATTCATAGTTTTCTTTAGGGTATAGAAATAGATAGAGTGAGCATCAAGTGCTGGTGAAGGGCATTGGTGCGGGTCACTTATTGTTTCTGTTGTAATCTCTGTGTGTGTTTGATTCTAGTGGATTCCGAGTACAATACTCGGCCTAGACGTAGCTACCCTTTGGGAGTGAACTGGGTTACCAAAGTTCTCATGTGTGCTCTGTTTTTCTTTCTGATTTTCAAGTCCTTAAACACTACAAAGCAAAGCTCTGTTCTTTCTTCTGTTTCTGACACACAAACTTGGTTCCGCTTCTCTGTTCTTAGTTTGTTTGGATTTCTCTCAAGGAAAGTTGACACCTTTGAGGTCAGAAATCCTTACAGAGTGGTATCAGAGCTATAGGTTCGTTGTTCTCTGGTTCTGTGAAGTTTCAAAGACACTGAACCATGTCATCGGCTCGAATAGAGGTTGAAAAGTTTGATGGAAGGGGAGACTATACTATGTGGAAAGAGAAACTAATGGCGCATCTGGATATCCTAGGTCTGAGCTCTGCGTTAAAGGAAGTTGATGCTTTGGTGGAGAAAACGTCGGGTTTGACGTTGACTGAAGAAGAAGAGAAAGAAGAGGTATTAAAGCAAGAAGCTTTGGATGAAAAAAGAAGAAAAGTTCGAAGCACTATTGTGCTAAGTGTTACTGATAGAGTTCTGAGGAAGATCAAGAAACAACCAACTGCTGCGGCTATGATAAGTGCATTAGACAAGCTGTACATGTCTAAAGCACTACCTAACAGGATCTATCTGAAGCAGAAGCTATACAGCTTCAAGATGTCTGAAAATCTCAGCATAGAAGGTAATATCGATGAATTTCTACACATTATAGCTGATCTAGAGAACACAAATGTTATGGTTTCGGATGAGGATCAAGCTATATTGTTGTTAATGTCATTACCTAAGTCGTTTGATCAACTGAGGGATACTTTAAAGTATGGGTCTGGAAGAACCACTTTAACGTTAGATGAAGTCATTAATGCAACTTACTCAAAGGAGCTTGAGTTTGGATCTAACAAGAAGAGTATCGAGGGTCAGAGGAAGAACTGAACAGAGAGACAAGAATAACACCGAAGGACAGAGATCCAGATCTAAGTCAAGATCTAATTGATCTATGCGTTTTTATCAATTAATAATCTAAATGCACCAACGATCTATCGCGGAAGTATTTTAGATGTCGAACCACAAGAAATAAAGATTGCAACAATAAAGATGCGAGATTCAAACTAATCCAGAGGAAATGATTTTTATGTTTTTGTTTTGATGAAAAGATAAGAAAGCAAGAAGTAAAATAAAGAAAAGCATTGGACCATGGGTTTAACTATCATGAGAATGGACTAACAATCAAACAATGATGCAAGAGGTTGAATTAAGCACCATCCTAGAACATGAAACTCAAAAATATGACTAATCCACTTTCATGGTACTAATCACTTCACTAATCATCTAATCATCAACAACTTCCGTTCGCAATCAAATGATCATTGAGCATTAATAACAAGTTCAATTGGTTCACTAAACACTCTAATCATCAACTCCCGTTGGCTAGATATGTAAAGCTCATAAAGGTTTGGTTCAAGCATTTTCACAAACACCTTCCGGGCATGAATTGCTTAAGGTCTAGATTTTGAGTGATCAAGTCAAAACTAGCATTAAGAGCAACCTAGATGAAGGATCTAACAATAAGCAACCTAAATCATCATCATCTAACCATCAAATTATCCTAATCTAGCATAACCCATGATCCAACAAAAAGACTAACTACTAAACATGGTGAAAGATAAAAAGGAAATGCATAAACATAAAGATACAAGATAAAGATGAAGAATCCTTCACTAAAGTGGCATGAATTGTTGAAGATCAATCCAAAATATCAAGAAGAGAGTTTGGATCTAAATCCGACTCTATAGAAGAAAACTTAGGTTACAAAATGTCTAAAAATTGCTTAAATACAAAATAGAATCGAACCGGGTTGACCCGAGATAAACCGGATCAAACCCAAAAATTTGCAAAGGCTTCTATAGATGCATCGGTCGATTGCTGCCTCGATTTCTTCTCGTCTGTGGCCTGTTATCATCCCAATCGACCATTAAATTGACCAACAGGTCGATTAAAATGTTCATTGGCTCCTCCTTTGTTCTTTTCCGCGCCAGAGTGATATATCTCCATTAAAACCACCATAATTCTTACATAGAAGCTCTGATTTGCTTGAAATCACATCCGTTGGAAAGGTAACTCAATTTCCTATAACTTGTATGAAGAGCTCTGAAGCTAAATCGCAATGAAAGACTTCCATCTGAGTCGATCTTTGAGGGACTTCGGACTGGTTCTGAATCATCAATTCTCTTCTTTGCATCCAAATGTGTGTCGTCCATTATTTTAACCTGAAATTGCTCAAAAGACACACAAAACACACCAAAAGACACACATAGACACTATAGGACTTCTAAAATGGAAGAAGACTCACTTGGACACTAAATGCAACAAAACACAATGAAAATACTAATGAAACACAATAAAATGGATCTTAACAACCATGATAAAGCGGTAAATATAGAGTATATCACTAAGAAAGGGTGTTGGATTTGTGGAGAGGAAGGGCACTTTAAGAGCTCTTGTCCTAACAAGAACATGTCTCAGACTCAGTCAAAAGGCAACAATGCTAGCAAAGGAGAATCATCAAATGGTAAAGGTCATTTAGCTGAAGCAACTGGCCTATATGTGTCAGAAGCACTGTCTTCTACTGACATTCATATCGAAGACGAATGGATCATGGATACTGGCTGCAGTTATCACATGACACACAAGAGAGAATGGTTTGATGATCTAGATGAGAATGCTGGCGGTACTGTGAGAATGGGCAACAAGATTGTTGCAAGAGTAAAAGGAGTCGGTTCTAGCAGGATGATAAATAAAGCAGGCATGAACGTTACTCTTACAAATGTAAGATATGTTCTAGAAATGGACAGAAATCTCCTGTCTTTGGGAACTTTTGAAAAGGTTGGTTGTAGTTTTGAGTCAGAAAATGGAATCTTAAGTATCAAGTCTACTGGAAGTGTGTTACTGACTGGTAGGAGATGTGACACACTGTATTTGCTACAATGGAGACCTGCAATTGGAGAATCACTTGTAGTGACAAAGAGACAAGATGATATTGTTCTCTGCATAGAAGACTGGGGGCATATGAGTCAGAAAAACATGAATCTACTACTAAAGAAGGGGCTTCTAGACAAGAAAAAAGTTTCAACACTTGAGACATGTGAAGACTGTATTTATGGTAGGGCAAAGAGGATTGGCTTCACTTTGGCTCAACATGATACTAAAGAGAAGCTTGAATATGTTCACTCTGACCTATGGGCGGGTCCATCAGTGCCACTTTCACTTGGTAAGTGTCAATACTTTATATCATTTATTGATGATTACACAAGAAAAGTATGGATCTATTTTCTGAAAACCAAAGATGAGGCTTTTGAGAAGTTTGTTGACTGGATTAATTTTGTGGAAAATCAATGTGATAAGAGAGTTAAAACTCTTTAGAACAGACAATGGGCTTGAGTTTTGTAACAACATGTTATTTGATGAGTTCTGCATGTCTAAGGGGATTCAAAGACATAGGACGTGTGCATACACTCCACAACAAAACGGTGTTGCAGAGCGTATGAACAGAACTCTGATGGAGAAAGTAAGAAGCATGCTTTGTGACTCTGGTCTCC